GGCCGCTGCGGCTCGGGCTTTTTGTACTCCCCTCGCCCAAAAAGACAAAGAGAGCCCTCTAAAATCTTTCTTTTTTTCGTTGGGGGTAGTGGCGGCCAATAAGCGGCAGCAGGGTGCCATGCTCTGTCCTCATGACAAAGTCAACTTCTCTTTCCCCCGCTTGACGAAGGAATAAGCAGTCCAATCACGTGCGAACTTTGCTATGACTTCTTTCACACTTTTGCAGCTACTTTTAAAAGAGCGCGCTTGAAAGTGCACACAAGTGCTAGGAAAGGTGCTCTTTGTGTGGCAGAGTACGCGCTTCGTAGGTGAGAGGAGATGATACCTCATTAGTTAACCTCAAACCTGGTGCTTATTACCCCTACGAAAACGGTAGGCATACTCAGATAATTGAATGATATGATGCCGTTTCATGGACACCACAACTGCTTAATAGCAAGTGGCTTAATTGCACGTTTTGGTAGACTTTTCCAATTCAAACAAATATCCAGTAATCCCCCTATTGCGAGGAGAGAATTGTGATACATTTACCAAATATTACCACAACGATAACTTTTCATTATATTGGCAAGCCAAGGTAAAAAAAAATGCTATAATCTATCAGTATCAAGGACAACAGCTGCACCAAAAAAGAACTTGGCTCTATATTTATCAGACACATTGCGTTGGTAACTGGTTAAGTGCTGAGTTTATGTAGAGTATTGCGAGAGAAAACACAAAAGGATATCTGTAGTTGGAGTAAAGGCAGTTTCCTCTCAGTGAATCCTGCGAGCTTGCAGAGTAGACGTTAGTAACTGATACCTGAGGTGTCTGCGTTCTGGGACGTTCTGAGAATGGTTGATTAAAAGGAGGTGTGGATATCCTGTGTTTGGCGTGCTTTGGAAAGATAGCTTTCCGCTGAGCATGCCTATGTCTGGATCAAAGTGATACCTCCAGTAGGCAGTGAGCGTAGAAGGAGTGGGCGGCCTTGGTTTACGTAAAGGCATAACCAAAGTCCTGAGTAATGCGTAGTATAAGCGTCAGCTTTTATTGGATGAACGTGGGCTCGTCAGAGTGCTGGATATCGCCTTGGGATAACTCTGCGCGAGTGCAGTAATCGACCACAAGAAAAAAAGGCGTCAACGCGAGATAAAGAAAAGTAGGGGGCATCAGAGTCTAATAGGCACTGGTCCTACAAAGAGAAAATGTCCAAGAGTTAGCTCGAAAAAGCAGTCGGTTTGGCCGAGTGGTTAAGGCGACAGACTAGAATGGCGTGCTTAGCGTCAAAGTCATCTGTTGGAGTTTCTCCGCACAGGTTCAAATCCTGTAGCCGACGCAATATCTACTATCTCATCTCTTTTTGTCCCCAGCAATAACCATTTTCTTTTTTGCCCATCGCGCTAATTGGCGATCTCATTTTTGCAGCAATGCGCCTGCTGTTCAGCTTTTTTTTCTTTTCTTCATTGCTCGTAAGTGGCATGCAACGTCAATGCTGGAGCATTGCATTTGGTCGCAGCAGCAATTGAAAGCTAGGTTATACATCATGTTATCCTGTGCAAGTGGACACCAGATTGGTGTGAGCTATTGCAAAACACTAGCAGAGGACCGGGATGCGCCTCTATGCCAGTTAGCCGAGTTCTCGCTCGCTCTCTTGGAAGTACAATGCAATGTGTTGCATTGTCTTATTTTTTTCATCGACAGCGACTGTGTGTTGCCAGTGTCGACTAGCTATATAAGTATGTTAACGCACTCCTTTCAACAACACGTTTTTTTGTCTCAATTCGTAAGCCCGCGCTTGCAACTGATCTACACATGGTACCAATAGTATCTGACAAAGGCATAGTAGTATCCTGAATGCAGTGTCACACACATGCTTGACACACTGACATTGCCTATTTTCGCACTGATGCTCTCTGCCTGTAACGTAACAGCTGCGCAGAGGGCAAGGTGTGCGTGAAGTACTCGAACATGCAACTTGGAGATCAAATGCTTTTGTACGTATTCATATGTATATTGACACTGGTGCGACCGTCAATCTTTGTATTATTTACCTGCGGCACCGTTATCAAACAACAAAATAAATAAAGCGCATGACAAATGAGTGCAGCTACACAAAAGTAAAAATGGGGAGCAGTGGCGATTATGATTGTTCGCAGAACAATGAGTCTGAATGGAATCTGACAGAGGTAATCGGTAAAGATCGGTGCAAAAAGCGATAAAACGCCAATCGCCTTTGCATTTCGAGAAAATAAAAAAGGAGCAAAAAAGCTGGGACACTCGGTATTCCCATATGGTCACCCACTATAGTACTAACCGAGCTGTAACCTACTTGTCTTCGGAGATCGGGACGGGATCCGGAACTTAAATACAGGTTCATATGGCCCCAGCTGAAATTGGAGACCAATTACTGCATAGAAATAGGAACTGATTGTCTCGTTTTCTGACAATGTCGCCCGTGGGGTATGTGGGATATTTCAGGGATATCGCTTGGCTCTAGCAGTAGCTATTAACATTTCCAACCGTTGTGGCTATTCTATGTCATGAGCATATATATACTCCTTGGTTTGGCTGGATAAACGCAGCATTGCTTTTGACAGTTCGATTCGTACTCGTTGTCGGATAGTCGTACAAGTAAATACTAGCAACATAACCAAAATGGATAGAGTGTAGTGTCCTTTTTATTGTAAATAGTTGTCATGCGACAAAAGTTGAATATATATACAGTGTAATTGCCTATCGACGCCTGTAACACGACAATGCGATTTCATTATTATGACATATTACGTGCAGACAAATTGTTACCTGATCATTTGCTATGACAGTTGGCTCGTCTCCAAGTGTTAGAGTTCTCAACAGCACTGTTCCAATAAACGTCATGTGCAATCACCTAGTTTGCCAATAGCCGGTGCTAATGACAATCTGAAGAATCTTACGATATTGCATGGACTGATGCTTGACATCTAGCAGATGGGTGTCCATGCCAACGGTGCATTTCCTACCAAAAGATAAGGCATGGCTGGAAAGTGTTAGTATTTTATTCAGCGGTGTTATACATCAAAAAAAGAATATGCAGCAACTAGGCAGTTGTTGGGAGCAGCTCTATCTGCACATACTTTTTTTATTACAAATGTCGTTAGCACATGGTTTATCAAACCAGCGACTTAATGGAATATACTTCAGTTGACTGAAGATAAAAAAGCCGGTGCAAGATAAAGCAACCCATCTCATGCAGTGGACTGAGGAGGGGGGATACAATCAGCGCATGCTCTCCAAATATCCGTGTGAACTTGCTGCAGCATGAGACATATCCAAATCCTGGCAATCCCTCATTGTCTTCGTCCTCCAGCTCATTATTTTGCGTAAGGAATAGCCAACACACCCAAAAAAAAGTCTCACAAAGAGGGAAGATGAAAAATTACTAATCGGCAATCTCCCCCAACGTTGTCGCATTCCCCAACCACCTACTGTTATTCTTTGATGGGTCGCACGCTCACTACGCTGTTGTTGAGAGAAGGAGAAGCAAAAGTGGTTTTCCTATGGAAAGAGGCACCTTCCTCGCTTCCTGTGGTCCCTCAGCCATAGGGGAGAGCCGCAGTCTCGCTCATGGATAATATTGAGATGTGGTCTAAGCGCTGCAGTTTAGAGTTTTTCTGTCTGTGCGCTGTCTGAGCACCTTTCAGAAGAAAAGATACAAGGAGTAGCATGGTTTAGCCTAAGCCACATTCCTCATGGTCGCCAGATTAGACACTGATTAACTGTTGATATCCGGAGGATATTCATGAAAAGGAAGCAGAACACAAACGCA